GAGGGAGGGAGGTAGGTAGGTCGGTAGGTAGGTTGCAAGGGAGGTGGGTAGGTAGGTAGGTAGGTAGGCAGGTAGGTAGGTAGGTCGGTGGGTAGGGTAGGGTAGGGTAGGGTAGGGTAGGGTAGGGGAGGGTAGGGTAGGTAGGTAGGTAGGTAAGTAAGTAGGTAGGTAAGGAGGGAGGAAGGGAGGTAGGTAGGTAGGCAGTTAAGTAGGTAGTCATGGAAGGATGGAGGCATGTGTATGTATCCATGCATGCCCATGCATGTACCAATGTATGTCTTTCTGCAGACACAGAAACCCTGCCGCCTCACCGCTACTGCAATGTCGAGCACAGTGGGTCGAACCTCCTCAACTACATTAAAGATGCAGGGGCTTGGGCTACTGGGCTACTGTTCGTTTCAGAAGTTTGGAACCACGACATCGAATCGGGCCCCGAGAATTCACAATCCATGCCCGGAGAGCCTCCAAAACCTTCGCTCTGGAGCCATAGTCTTCCACCATTTGCTGGAGGCGTCTCTTCACCAAAGTTACTTGTCGCATCCCGACCTCCGCCTCCACCCATGCGGCAATGGCCTGACACGAAGCTCGAAGATAAATCAGCTCCTAGGACCTGAATCTTCTGAGCCGACCTTCTGCCGACTGCGCAGAATCTCCGGCAGGCCCTGGACCTCTTGGCGCTGCGACTGGAGCTGCAGCAGCTCTTCGGCAGCACTGAGCTCCGTAGCCACCTCTTTGCCCAAGGCACCATGCTCTCGGATTTCGCGGCAAGCAAACGGGACAGCAAGGAAAGCTTCTCTGGGATGTGGCCAGGCCTGTCGCTGTGCTTTGCGCGTCTCGGCCGCATGCCGATGGGCTGCATCGGCTTCAAGTTCCACCTCCGCACAGCGCAGCATCGTCTGACGGCTTCTCAGCAAGGGCTCTAGGAACTCACCAAAGTCGACATAGACATCTCTACTTCTTGTACGACCCCACCTTGCGGAAACTCTGAAAAAAGACCTCGCATCTGGCCTTGCGAAGAGCTCGCTGCTGCTCCGCTAAAGCCGCAAGAGCTTCGGCCTCTTGGCTCCGGAGCAGCTCCAAAGTCCTAGCAGAAGATGCAAACAGCAGCGAAGGAGAGGAGCTGAGTAACAAAAAAAAGGCAAAGAAGGCGTTTCCAAACTTGGAAGGGGCTCACGGTGCTTAAATGAGAGCTTAGCTTTAAGTAAGCCGGTCTCGTGGTCCCCTAGTTGCAGCAAGTCGCTCTGCGTGTGCCAGCTCGCGGTCCGACAGCAAGCAAGAGTGTCTCAGCTCCTACGAGGGAGCCGGGAAGGTCTCGGGGGCTGGGGGCAGGTTTAAGGCTTAAGGATCATTTCCGACCGATTTTATTCCGCCCCACGCGTCGCTCCTCTGCTTGCTTTTGCAGACCATCCCTCTGGGAACGCAGCCTGCAGAGCGGAGAATTAATACGTGCCGATCAAGATACCGACTGCAATCTGCCATGAACACTTAGGCGCAGGGTGTCCTTTCCAGACGTCCGGCGGACACATCCTGGATCTCTCGCAAAGCCGGCCTGCCAACAGTTTCAGTTGCACTGGCTGGGCATGTCCTGCAGGAAAGCTCTCACGCCTCCCTAAACCCTAAAACCTTTCCTCTGGGCCTTCCGCTTGAGATCTGGAAATGACAAAGCAAAAAGCAGGACGTAGCAGGACACAAGCACAGTGCAGGGAAGTATCGAAGCCTGGTTTCCTCAGGCTGGGTCCCACCTCAGGAGCGGCAACTGATAACTGCTTCGACAGGATGTTTTGGGTCAGCGCAGGGGGAATCTTGTGACCGATGCTGCTGAAACGAAAGGGGACGAAGTGTTAGCTGCCCGGCTGTTGAACGGACGTTTGCTTGTGAGGCAGACCCGAGGGGATCTGCGAGTGTCTGCACTGTGCACATGTGCGGTTTGTACTTCGGCCCGGCCTCTCATTAAGCCATTTTTGCACATGCAGAGCATCACTGCAATCCGACATAGTGGCTTACAGACTTCCGCCGCACCTCGAGAGTTGGATACACCCAGGTTGCAGGGGCCTGGCGAGAGCTCGCCCAAAAGAACACATCCGCACGTTTCTGTGACTCTCACTATATACCCGTGAAGCAACATGTGCCTTTCGATTCACGAGCTGCCAGCGAGCCCAGTGGAAAAGAACTCTGGCTTGGCTGAATCCGTGCTGGAGATGCCTCCCGGCCGGGCAGCACAAAGATTTGCGCCAAGGTGCCAGGTGTATGGACGATTGGGTCGGCGCTCTAATCGAGCATGCAGCATAAATGTGTGGCTTTGCCTCATGCTTCCCGTGCACTTGATGACGAATGCAAAACAAGCGAAAGACATTACACAGCGACCTCGTCCAAGCACTGCCGATGATCCAAAGAGGCCTGTGCGTCCACATGAAGGATCCGCTTCAATGACTTCAACACACTTGCTCGATAGCCACGCTAGAAGTGATAGATGATCGACATTTGCAACAGTGAAGGGCAGCACCTCTGCGGCTTTCTGGCTCGTTTGTCGAGCCCTCGGATCCGGCTTTTTGAGACTGCGGTATGTGATAAGTCTCGAGTGACGGCGCTGGGTCTGAACATACTGCTGAACTTTGACTGGCGCTTGCGACCGCTTGGCCCGTGGCTGCATCTTCAAAGTACGAAGCCGTTGTCGAAGACGGTCACGCTCCTGCAGAGACCCGGCAGAAGTCGAGACTTGAGAACTTGGGCCTAGGCCTAGGCATCCTCTCGCCTTTTGGAAGTTTGCCTCCTGGCGCTCGCTTTCGGCACCTCAAGCATGCCAGTTAAAGGCCGTATATGCCGTGCGGCGCCCTGATGCGCCCTGCCCAGACTGGGCAAGGGGCTCAGCTCTGCTCTCTCGCTCCTCAAGCTTTGGAGCCGCCGCTCCTGAAAAGAGCCGTGCTTTGAAGAGAGAGTGCAGTGTGCGAGTAGCAGTGCGAGCGTTGACTGGCAAGGGAGGGAGGCTGGAGGCCTGGCCTCGCGAGCCTCTTGGCTTGAGGCATTCGCAACGCAGCTGCTCCACTCTGCCTGCCGACTTCCGAGCGAGAGAGCGCTTAGTACTCCGTCCCAACACTCCGACCTTCGCAGCTGCGTGCTCCACTGAGGACCTTCGGAGACAGGAGGCCGAGGCCGGCGGCCGTCCGCTCTTTTAAGCCGCAAGTTGGGCCCTCAAGGCCGAGGGCTGCGCTGCTGCTCCTGGAACTCCGAAGCCGAAAGCTCCGCCTCCAGGCACCGCACCTGCGAAAGAAGGAGCGACGAGAGCGAAAGCGCAAGCTCTGTGCGTTCCACCCACGCCATCTCGCGTCGCTTCGCGTCGCTTCGCGTCGCTTCGCGTCGCTTCGCGTCGCTTTGCGTCGCGTCGGTGATTCACAGCGAGAACTCTCTCTCTCGCTCCTGTCTCTTTTTCAAGCAAGGGCACCTGGGCGGAGAGCGCCTCCCAAGCTGCGCTGTTCTGCTGGCGCCCCGGTGCCTGAGGCTCGCTGAAGTGGCAGTTTAAAGCCCATCAGGGAATCGTCCCCAGACCAGGCCTCTCTCCGTGAAGGCGGCGAGGTCACTGTCGCTCTGTGCTGATAGCGGAGCCGCGGAGACTGAGAGTCCGGGGACTGTGGGGACTGCCGAGCTGTGCGGCGCTTGGGACTCGGTGTGAGGTCTGTGGGACCTGCGGGGGAAGCATTCGGGGCGTCTTGGGCATCACGGGCATCTCCCGTCGCACCCGAAGGCCAGGGAGAGAAGCCTTCCAACCAGCACGGCAAGGGGCTGCCCCTGCACACGCCGGCCTGCAGGGATCGTGCAACGATCTTCGCCGACAACTTGCGCGCAAATCGGCACGAAAAAAGGCTGACAGCGGGACGCCTCTTCGGGAAGGATGGTCTCGGAGGAAACATGCTGCTCATCCTCCACCCCAGAACATCCAGAACCCGACAGGAAATCATCACTTGGAAGCTTTGGCCCAGGTCTCTTTGTATCTACCTTTCAGAAACCTCTGTGCGTAAACAGAGAGGCACTTTCCTTTGGGGCATCCCAAAGAGGACCGTACATTGGAACCCTCCCCGTCCCGATGTCCCGATATGCAATGTGCGTTCAACAGCTTGCTAGTCTGTGCCAGTATCTGAGTCTGGTACAGAGTCTAGTAGAAGACTCTAAACTGAGCAGGTGAGGCGGTCTGCTGGGCCATCCATTTGTTTCGCGAAAGAACAACTTATTCTCCCAATACACCCCACCGAACCAGACTGGGTTCCAACCAGATCACTCTTCGATCACAAACATCTAAGCATTGCATCCCAGCCCAAGGGATTTCAAGGTCGAGATGAGATATGCAAAAAGTCTATCAGCAATACCGTTTGTTTCAACTTGTGTCTCAGTGGAATACAGCCATGGCAGGCATTCCGAGGGTATGCTGTGTTGAAATCTTATTGCGAGCGTCGGTTGCACTTTGCACTGATCGCCATGGCCTGGCAGCCGGTGATCCGATCACGGTCCCTCAGCCACGCTTAGTCTCCCCAAACTTTCGTGCATTCGTGATTATAGAAATATGCATCAATTCCGAAGGTCTTTCTCCGCCACAAACTAAAGCTGCGGCGACCTTGGCCGCCTTCACTCACAGCCGGGGCGACACCCCCGTTCTCTATCTCCCTCTACAAGTATCTCTGTTCTGTTCTGTTCTCCGGGGCATGAGGTGCGAGCTAGCCCCTGTTTCGGGGCCTGGTGGGGGCTGTCGGGAAGATATACAAGTATCTTTCTTTTCTTTCTTTCTGCCGGGCGTAGGGGTCCCGCGGGGGGACCCTCAGGCCATTGGCCCGCCCGACCACTCCTTTTACTTGTATCTCTCTCTCTCTCTCTGCGTCCTCTAGTTCCAAGAGCTCCACATCCTCCTGCAGCTGTTCCAAGACCTCCAGCTCAGCTGACAGAGACGATCCGCGCTCTCACAGCTCCAAGGCGCCTCATGTCTTTGCAAGCCCCAGAGTCCGCTGGAGGCCATTGCTGCATGCTCGCGAAATCTTGCGGGGGGGCCCTCACGGAACGAGGCCTTGGCTGGAGGATGCTTTGGAAGCTGCCAGATCTTCAGCACAGTCTGATTCTTTTGGGTCTGAAACTTCAACGGCTTCCGATCACGGTCAGGGCTCCAGCACTGATTGCAAGTACGAGCTGCGACCGTCTCAAAACAAAACATCTTGTTCCTCCTTGAGAGGCTCTGTACTATCGGATGTGAAACCGTCGAGAAAGCAGCAGCATCCCAGACACAAACGGCGTCTTCTAGAAGAGAAGATACCCTTTTGAGCTGTCACAGTGCTTGACTTCCAAAATGCTGCTTGCCTCTATACCTCCGGTACACAGTCGACGTGAAAAACCCTGGCGTGACCGATCAAGCCAGGAGTTACGAATAAAACTGTGCGGGGAATTCGGATTCAACTGTACAGCACTAGCATGAGCCGTGGTGAGAACAAGGGCGGGCTAGTCGCCTGAGAACCACATCGTCCGACGAACAAGGCACACTTTGCATGGTGAGAAATGAGTTTCTGCCGTCATCACATGTCATGACAACCTCCCAAAGACAAAACACGTCATGCCGGCGACGTGAGACGAAGTCCGTCTTCGATTAGGCCGTCTTCGGCCGCCTCTCCTTCCCGGCCTTTGAGCCTAGCTGCTAGCTTGAGCTGCCGGAAAATTCTGTGGCAGTTTGCGCAGTTTGCAGGGACACAGGCGGCCGGCGCAGACCCGCTCCAAGCGAGTTGTGACACGTGAGGCACCATGAGGTGCGTGTGTGGCACGGCTTGACAAGGCAAAGTGTCTCAGTACGGCCATAATGGGCCATGTCGGCCGAAAGTCACACGAACTTGCACTTGCCAACAGAAGATCTCAACGAAAAAGCTGCCACACTGGCATGCCAATTCACCAAATACAGGGCATTCACTCATCAAAGGGGCAATGCAAGCTCATATTCTTACTAGCCGTCGATGCTGTCGAGAATCTCCTGAAGATGCAATATGGCTCAGGACATGCAGCCACAGCTTTCACCTGCCCTAGTCTCAGCATCCTTCATCAGCATCTCGTCGTCATCGTCGAAATGATTGTTCCGATGGGCACGAGGAGGTGCGACAGTCTGCCAGCAAAAGCAACATCTAGCAAGTCTGCCAAGCTTCCGCTTGGACTGGCTTCAAGCTCTCTCTTGAACACGTGTCTCGGCACATAACGACAACTGCCATCGGCGACAGCTACTCCCATACCACCAGCACTGCCACCACCGACCATCTGAACAACACCAAGGCAACGAACACCAGCTGGCGGAATGCGGTCCGAAACTTGCAGACTATGCCTCCTCTTCTTCTCTCTGCCCCACTCCCCCTCGCTCTCTCGCTCTGGCTCGACGGCGTGCCAAACCTGCTCGCCAGGCAGATCATCGAGGATCCCACCCGGAAGGCACTCCTCCAGACTTGCCTCGAGCAAATCAGAGCAGATGACTGCAGCATCTCAACGATACAGAGACCTATCATTCGGTACTTGTGTTATGCAACGTGCAGAGACCGTGATACGAAAAGATTGCGTTCAATGTACATGTGATGAACCCTCTTCGTCTACGACAGTGAAGCATAGTTGCGCCGACAGCTGTAAGCTTTTCGAGGACCGGATCAAGCACTGCCACAGTCACTACCGTTAACCCAACGTCTGACAAATTGTCGATTGCAAAAATGAAGCCATACAGTGATCTTTGCAACAGCAGACAAAGCGGGACCATGGTGAAGGGGAAGGCCGGACTTTTTGTGTAGGCACACAGGCCAGAACTACTTTCTCGCTTGCAGCCCCGCCCCAGGCAAGGACCGTGCATCCTGCAGGATGAACACGCGTCACCAAAGCTCGTTACACCGAGCAGGTCCCGCATGAGTCAGCTCTATCACAGTGCACACTGGGCACGATACCTGTCTCGGGGTGAGGGCGGCAGAGGCATTGACACCTGGGTAATTGGCAAAAGACTGCCAACGCTGACAAGTTTGTGGAAAAAGGCGCCAAGCCAATGCTGCAGCCGGTTTCCTGAGACCCATGCCCATAATCTCGTGGGGTGCTTTGCTCTCCTCCCACTTTGCAGATTTGCTTGTTTGCCTACTTTCTACCTGACCGCCTAAAGCCTTTGCTTCTGCCTGTCCAAGAGAAATCGCCGGCACCGGCGCAGCCCCGGGACCTTTGCAGCCGCACAGGCGATGCACTCGCAACTGCCGAGAATACCTGGAAGAAAAGCAAAGCAGAAAAGCAACCTATCGCGAATCCAACAGATCCGAATCCTCTCTCCAGGGGGCTAGGCCTGTGTCACCAGAACCGGACTGGCCTCTTTGGTACCTGGGCACGCTGGGCTGAACGTGGCGCCGCGAGCCGACATCTGGACTTGAAGAGACGGTCCAAGAATCCAAGAAGGTGCCGCACAAAATCCAAATAAAGGAGGGAGGATCATAAACTTGCACAGCCCATCCAGATCATGAACATATTGCTCACTCTGTCCTTGGTTTTCGCACATCACCTGGCTCTCTCCAGTTTAGCGGTGGAGGTCCGATCTGAGTGGCAGGGTCGCTCCCCTGAAACCGATATGGAATCAAACCATTGACACGAGCTGATGCGATCTCGTTCGGCGTGGAAATGCCTCGAGAAGGGTGCCCTCTCCACTAATGAATCTGGCACAGCATTCTTGGTTTGCCGAGCATTCGACATTCATAAGCTGCACTGCACGCGGGCCGTCAGACGAGTCATCCATGACATGAACTCGCTGTGAACTGGCACCCCATGCAACAGCACAGTTCTGCCTGCTCCCATGCTACAAGGCAGAGTACTGTGTCGGGAAATTCCAACGTACCCACTACTGTTTAATCTCATACCACCTGAACTTTACCGACAGAACGGTACACTTGAAACAACCGGATATCTCTTCGGTTCCGTGCCGTTGGTTGTCGAACCGCTTCCGATGCTCGGCCATCTTGGCCGCCTGCAGCCATGGAACATGCTCACACAGCCTTTGGATATAACGATACCGCTATCTGTTTCAGCTGCAACAACGCATCAGTGCGAAGAGCGAGGAATATTGAAATGATCCGTCATAAACTGTGGCAGCTAGGAACATATGAACATCGACCTCTTCTTGCTGCTGCTTCGAGAGGACAGGCTTCGGCTCGTCGTCTTCCTGGCTGCTGCTCTCATGGATGTCGCGTACAATGAACCGAGTACATCATAGTACAACACTATGAGAGAGTCACCGCCCGAGCTGATCAGTGCTGCAGTGCTGCCACTATACATGAGACTACGTTTTGCGAAGCATGAGCAGTAACGGCCTCACAGAGAGATCCCATATCGAGTCCCTTAATACCGGCAGTGCTGCGGCGGTTATGGCATCAAGGGCCATATCTATGTCGGTCTGGCCGTCCTTCCGGTGCCCACTCAGGATACACGCCGTCGCAGTCACTTCACTGGCCTCGGCCTCTATCTCGCGCGTTTCCAGCACGTTTCTCGCAGTGGAGGTTCCCTTGCCCTCGCCAGGGGAATGCCCAGAGCTCTCCGTCGAATCGAACCAGAACTCTTGCCCCAGGAAGCTCAAGTGCCTCGTAGATGACCTCAACATCGTCATCCGGATCCATCACCATGACACTGTGCCTCACAGCGAGAAGTGGAGTGTCGCGCATGTCCCGAACTCAGAAGGCGGGTTCTGAGAGAGACACTCCACCGGCTTGTGCAGTGAACCTCAAAGTCACCCGACTCACCACGCTAAAGACTGCGCACCCCGTCTCGTACCAGAGCCCTCAAACTGTGCCGCGTGCCTGAACCGGTCGCAGCCTCGGCGGTCGAAGCCTCAGACTGAAAACAGCGCCGGGCCCTGCCAGCAAGAAAAGACAACAAAAAAGAACGCTTCTCGTCTCAGATCGCTGCGTTTCCGGGATCCTGCGAAGGAAGACTCGTGACTCTCGAGCCCGACACACCGGGCACGTGCCTTCGCAGCAGCCGTCGAGACTGCCGGCCTGTCCGCCTCAGCAAACGGGAGAGTGGTCAGAGATGGTCAGAGCCTCAGGGACACCTTGAGACACTCTCGGCCCTCGGCTTTGGAGGGCTTGGAGGCCCACGTTTCGGGCTCCTTGCAGGCGCCGCTGCTGCGTCTGCGTCGCGCCTGCGTCGCGTCTGCGAGGTGTCCTCTTCCGTCTGTTCGGGCTCGGCCACGGGCTTGATGTCCTTCGACGGCCCAACCCTTCCCACCGCGAGAATGCGGGCAGAGTCTGCGGAACGTTGGGACAACGTTTTCTGGCGAAGGGTGGGAACAACACCCTTCGTGCGGTGGACTCTAGGGAGTCTGTGCGGAATTCTAGAAAGCAGTTCAAGGGCAGATTTCTGCTATGCGATTGCCTGTGAAACCTACCGCTCCTGCGGAGTGCTCGTCCCGCAGCCCATACTGCCAAGCCCCTAGCCGCCACTGCCTCGGAAGACTCAAGGACGACAAAGGGCGGAGACTCAGAAAATTCGGTCCAAGAAACGGCGATTTCAGGAGCTTGCTCCGGGCGCAGCTCGAGCCGACAAGCAGAGTTCGTCAGGCGGCTCATGCTACTGCTTCGGCTGATGGCATCAAGACTCGCACACACGAACAGCGTGATGTCGAAAGCTTTTATTGTGGAGTCAGTGTTCCCTGACATGAGTCTCCCCTCAAGCTACTGGGTGAAATAATCTCCGGCGAGCGCACCGCGGCGTCACGGCCGGAAATAGCAGACTGACGCCAACAAAGCCAGCCGCGGCAACTAGTCTTTGGTCTGGGGTGTGACGGGCAGGCCGCAGTCTGCGAGTTTGAAGTGGCACGTTGGCACTCACTTCTTCTTCGGCTTCTTCGCTGGAGGCTCCTGACATTGGGATCCAGTGGACTTGCGTGTCAGCGCCTGGTCGGCAGAGCAGTCCATAATGAAGCTGTATCCACGAATGTCTACACAAGCACAAAGGCCTAGCATCGCATCCCACAGGCATATGCTGACATCCCACCCGAAAATACTTAGCCCTTTGCCTCCTCTTCGTCCTCCTCCTCCTCCTCTTCTTCTTCCTCCTCGTCATCATCTGGCATACCATCCTTAACACAGCTCGGCAATTTGCTGGATTATGTTAAAGCAGCGGAACCTTTAAGGTGGGGAGCTCTGCAGCCAAGCCCTGGGGTCCCGTCCGGCTCAAAGTACCCGGTCAGGTGCATCTCGCTGCTGCCTTTGTTGTGGAAAGAGCACCTGCACAATGTTGAAAGCAACTTTTACCTGCAACGTCTCGGGGCCGAAGCTCCAGCTCAAACCAATCTCATGCCGCGCGTTCCAGTCCGGAAGAAGAGATCGAAGGAAGCATATTCGCTCTTGTCCTGGCAGCACGATGTAACCAGGCTAAAACGCCTACACCCGGAGCCGAATCAAAATACGACAAGGACAACCCCGTATAGTGACTATATGTAGCATGACAACCTTTGCCGTACCTTTGCCTGGTCCACGAATGCCGCGCAAGTACTGACACATGCGTCGTACCCGCCTGTCCTTCTGCAGGCAAGCTATGGAGTAGGACTTTGCGCCGTCCACAACCTGGACTCACAAATGCAGCTGCACCACAAAATCCTGCATTCCAGCGATTCAGCTGCACAACGCCTGAAAAAACCCTGCTCTTACTTGCACGAGTGCTGGGACTTCCTCATTAGACCCCCCGCAGCGCCAAGGCCTGCAGGAAGTTTTTCCCAGCTGTTGGCTGATGCAGACATGCCTTCAAGGTGCACAGAGCCAATCTGCAGGCTGCAGGGTAAAGCGAACAGACAATTCAAAATTCAGATGCAAGATCCCAGCAGCCTGCGATAAATGTAAAACATCTCCTCCTTCTTCTGCCTATGCAGCCGGCAAGAGGATGCATGACTGATTGACCCTCGCTTGGGAATAAGGAGTAGGAAACTAGCAGAAATGTCGCCTTCACTTCGAACTTTGCGCCTGGCTTCAGCTGGCACCTTGGAATCAGCATCGAAGGGTCAGACCGGCGAACCGATGTGTGGGTCTGAGCAGCACACCCCCAAAAGCTCATCAGTGTGCCTGCAACATTACATGCCCTCGCAATGGCCAATCGTCTGCGACACAGCTCAAACTTCGGCCTTGCCGTCCAACTGATCGCCAAGGACTGCAATCGGCTGAGAGCCCAAACTCCGGTCTGGCTTTCCGGTGATGCATTCTTCTTGAAGGGACCCTCCCCCCACATTATGCTCGTCCACCAGCTGCCATAGATGGATACAAGGATAGACAGGTAGACCAGTAGATAGGCCGTTAAACAAATAGATAAAGACACATAAATAAATACATAAATACATAAGCAGACACATACATAAATAGACAGACAAATAGATAGCTAGAATGACTTTCAAGAGAACGGACGCCCCAAAAAAGGGAGGGACGGGTGGGCAAGAAAATTTTCTCACCGAACTTGGGAGCATGCGCGGCCAGAATCACAAACTTATTTTCCATGGTCAAAAAGGAATTCGTGAAAACCCAACGACTTCAAAAAGTCACCATCACGAGCACCAAAAAACCAGAACGCCCTGCGCGCTGCCCCAACCCAAAAAAAATGCTCAGTCGACACGTCGAAAATGCATTTTTTCTGGAGCAGGGCTTTTCGAACTCGAACGATGTTTCGCTAACCAACAATGAAGTACAGGCTTGTTTCCCACTCCTATAAATCTATGCTCACAAAGAAAGCTGTAGTATTGATCTCTTAGAGGAGATCGTATGAAACTAACTCATTTTCTTTTAAAATGAGTTATAATAATTACATGTTGGACTTCTTATTTTTTACTTGGAAAGTTTGGCTCTCGATCCACATGTAGATATACAAATTTCTGTATTGTTAAAACATCTTCCAAAGTTCATTCCAAAGCGAAACAAGACCAACTCAAAAATTCAGGGTTCTTGCATACCGTCAGTTTGTAGGGACCGACCAAAGTAGACCCTATCGGGCGGGTCTGATTTCCTGGCTGGTGGTCATTTACAGGCTAAATTTCAGACCCACGTTCTTACGCCGCGCACCCCTTCCGGAAAGCTTCCAAAAAATCATTGTTGAAGATGCAACCTTTCAAGCCCCCCACAAGTACTCAGACGCGCAGACACTCAAACACTCAAACACGTTCAGACGCACACGCTGGGACACTTACACACTCAAAGACTCAGAAGCTTAGACACTCAGAGGGCTTACAATCAGAACACGCAGCGCAGCAGCTTTTGTTTTGGCGTATGCGGGCCTCAGTGACAGCGGTTGCTGCGCTCGGTCCCAGTAAGAAAGCTAAGAAACCAAGAATGACAATCTTCACGAAAACTATACAAGGGTGAAAGCATCAAGCTAACTAAAAAAGGGCCGACAAAAACCGCCGGTTCGAAAACTACGTCATCTACCCTGTTCGGCACCGGCAGTACTGCACAAGCCTCTCAGCGATCTAACCCTCCAAACTGTACAAGGAAGGCAACAAACTACTCAGCGACAAA